TTCTTATGTTGAGTCTGTATGTAAGTCAGAACTGGCAGTCAGTTTCAGCAGCGGCTGAATCTGGACGCCAGTTCCAACTTACATACAGATTCAACTTAACAACAAACCTACAGTCCCTATCTTGTACGTAACCCGGGGACTGCCTGTATATACATAACTTTCAATAGGACCTTCAGGGGGTAGCCGAGTTAGTCTGTTACAGAAAAAAAAACAGCAAGCAAATGGTCTTGTAGCACTTTATAGACTAACAAAACATGTAGATGGTATCATGAGCTTTCGTGGGCACAGCCCACTTGCTTCAATAATCTGTGGCTATTTTACTTTATTTCTTTAGCGCCCAGCAAATCTGCAGATATTCACTTTGGCTACGTCTACACTGGCCCCTTTTCCGGAAGGGGCATGTAAATTTCACTAGTCGTCGTAGGGAAATCCGCGGGGGATTTAAATATCCCCCGCGGCATTTAAATAAAAATGTCCGCCGCTTTTTTCCGGCTTTTAAAAAAGCCGGAAAAGAGCGTCTAGACTGGCCCCGATCCTCCGGAAAAAGTGCCCTTTTCCGGAGGCTCTTATTCCTACTTCGAAGAGGCTCCTATTCCTACTTCCGGAGGCTCCTATTCCTCTTTGTACGATGAGTAAGGGAAGTCAGAGGAAGAGTGCTGTGTTTCGAAATAAGTGCAGTGTAGATGCTCCCTATTTCGAAATAAGCTATTTTGAAATAAGATACGCAATTGCCATAGCTCAATTTGTGTAGCTTATTTCCAGGTAAGCCCTACAGTGTAGATGCGCCCATAGATGAGAAGCCTGGAGATTCCTGCACGCTGGACAGAGCGCTAAGGTGCAGATGTGAACTAGGGATGTTAACAACTAGTTGATTAGTCAACTATACGATAAGCAAATGCTTATCAGATAGTCAACACACTAGTCGACCAGTTGCTTCCCTCCTTTGCTGCCTCTATCAGAAAGAGGCACTAGCAGGGAAGCGGAAGAGAAGGGAGCGCTTCAAAGCGGCAATGCTGCACGGAACCCAGGGTCAGCTGGGGACTCCCCTGCTGATGCCAGGCTACATGTGGCGCTGCCACTTTGAACTGCCACTTTGAAATGCCGCAGGGAGCATGGGGCCAATGGGGGACTGTTTGAGTTCTTCGCTGGCTTGGTGCTCTGTGCAGTGCTTTCGCCTTTAAAGTGTATCAACAACCCCGGGGCTGTTGTTACACTTCAAAGGCGAAGGTGCCGTCATTGATTAATCAAATAGTTGATAACCATTGCATCGCCTATTCGATTAGCCAATTAATCTAAATTTAACATCCCTAATGTGGACACCATGGTGTAGTACTGCTTCCTGACTGGCGTCCGGCACCCTTCCCACAATTCCTGTTCTTTCCTTTTTGGTCATCTGTTTGCACTCTACCACCCTGCTGTCTAGTGACCAACCCTCAGACCTACCCTTTGCCTTCTTTTGGAAATTTGAAAGTCTGCCTGCTGTTTGCTTGGTGGATTGTTGGGTGTTCTCAGTGCATCTTTCCAGGTAGGCATGCCTGCTCCATACACCAAAGATCCCCTGCTTGGAGTCATGCTAAGGTGCGGGACCGCATCAGAGTTTGGGGAGAGGAGGCAGTCCAGTCCCAACTGCCAAATATACTTTTGGAATTGTCATTTCCAGCTCCAGCTGTAGGAATTATGATCTCAAGACCAAAAGGGGCCATGACCGGGACCCATTGGAGTGCAGGGTCAAAGTGAAGGAGCTACAAAATGCCTATCAGAAGGGCATGGTAAAAAACTGCCACTTTGATGCTGTGCCCAAGACTTGCAGATTCTACAAAGAGCTGGATGATGTACTTGGAGGCTTACCCCATCTCTGCTCCGAAGTCCATCGTAGATACTTTGTGGGTTCAGGTGCCATCCAATAGTGGGCTGAAACAAAAGGAGGAAATCATAGATGAGTGTGCTGAGGAGGAGGGGGAGCCAGAGCCAGGATAGGACTTGGCATCCAGAGATGCTTGCAGTCAGGAAGTGTTTTGTACTCCTGATGAGGTGAGCCAGTCGCAGCACTTGGAGGCTGCAGATGATGCACCTGGTAAGAGGACTGGGTCTCAGGAAGTGCTCAAGCAAGTTGCTGGGCATGGGAGAATTACAGAAAGGAGGTTTGGTTCTGTTGCCGTTACCAGCACAGGGTGATTAGATGCTGAATAGTGCCTTGATGCAATCTTTTATTTGTCAGTAATCTGCCATGCACCTGTGTAAATTTGCTGGCAAAGCAAAAATGGTCATTGTCACCTGAAGACTGATATTCAATCACCACTGTACCATCAGTGGCCAGGGGAGGAGGGAGCAGGGAGAGGGATCACTGCACAAAGACAAGCTGCATATGGCTTGGACAGAAACCACAGTCAAGTAAAATAGCCTCCTTTGCTTCCTTACTCACTGTAAGCAGAAAAATGTCTTCCAGAATGAACACTCCCTGTGGAAATGAGTGGCCATTACCCCCTCGCTCCTCCACAGTGCTCTTCCCAAGTCACACCTGTCCAGAGTACAGTATGGCTCTGTGTTATTAAAAAACCCTGCTCCCCGGCATGAATGAGAATCCCTGCCCTGCTGCAACAAGGTATTTTCCTTCCCTGGCAGTGAACTCACCATTGTGGGGTTCCTCTATCTTATATGCACTATCTCCAGGACAGTCAGTTAATGCTAGGTATGTGAACAGTGCAAGTGATTCAAAGGGGTTGGGGCAGTACCAAAGGCATAGCAAGGGTATTATGCGCCCGGGGGCAAAGGCAAAGTTCCCCCCCCCAAACCTGGCGCATGCTGAGACGGACCCTGGGCGAGGTGGGGAGCTTGTACCACATCTTACCCCACTCCCTCTAGTTTGGGGCCAGGCCCCTGCATGTACTAACCCTTCAGCAGAGGTGGAGGGTAAGGCTGGGGCCAGGGAGGTGGCTCCAGCCGGCAGCAGTAGGCAGAGGAGGAGCAGGCAAGCAGAGGGATGATGGAGAGTGGAGGGGCACTAAATTGGTGCCCCACTAGCAGGGCACCTGGGCCCCACTAGCATGGCAACTCCCCCCTGCCCTCCTCACTACACCACTGTAAATAATCC